TGTCTACGGCTGCGGTCACATCTACGACGTAACTAAAGTTTAACTTAAGTTAGTGTCAAGTTACGTGATGTCATACCTAACTGTAGTTAGTGCTTTCGGTCGACATTGCGGTCACACACGCAGTTAACAACAGTTAGTTCTAATTAGCCTATGTAAATTGTTTGCTTGCTGTTTTTGGTTTCCCCCCTCGCTTCACGCTTGGTTTTTATTTTGCATATTTATATATGCTCATCTCGCACGTGCGAAAAGAAGTGTCACATTCTGATTGGTTGTTTGTTTGTAAACTTAAGAGTAACCCAGGAACCCTGCTTGGGTATAACCAGGGTTTGAGCCAGGCCGCGCCATTGCGCCAATCCTGCACTGCAATTGGAATTGTCCCTTTAAAAAACGGCCAAGGGGACAATATGTCCCCTTCAAAATTTAGGGAAAAAACTCGAAAGGAAGCACACACGAAGAGATTTATTTCGGTACAGAAGTTGCAAGCTGAAACAGAACGTGGAAAGTATATTTTATCGCACCTTTAAAGTTCATCCCAAAGTTACGTTTCAGTCACGCTCTACTGCTATTTTTTTCGGAAATCTAAGACAGGGCTTCTGATTTTTCGCGCGGTCGCCGAGCCGCGAAATTCACAAAAACACGAAAAATACCGCGAAATTCGGTAGAAATCTTATCAAATACATGTCTGTGCAAGATATTTGAAACTTATTTCAGCTATAGGGGCTATTTACTTGCAAATTTATCTTGGAACTTCGTCACTGAAAACGTGCAAACAGATTATGTTGCGAAAAACGGGGCACTAGCCATCATGTTAAAGGCTTTGCCATTGGTTCATTTCTGGAGCGTATTGTTGTTGAAAGAGCAAATGATGACCTCTGTTAGAAAAACGTTAACAGGGCTGCTCTGATCAGCGTAAAACCGATCGATTTCTAGCGAAATTTGCCTTGAAAATAACCACAAAATCGGCCCTTTTTTACCGATTGCTTTTCCGTGAAGTTTGCCCCGAAAACTCCCGCGAAATCAGCCGATTTTTCCGCGAATTTGTCCCTAAAAATCCCGCGAAATTTAACTTTTTCGTCCGAGACCTATCAGAAGCCCTGCTAAGAAGGAGGAGTGTACAAATTTCTGTCCCCCTAAAAATGAAAATGTCCCCCAAAATTTTAGCCAAGGGGACAAATTGTCCCCCAGTGATCAAATCCTAGCTCAAACCCTGTATAACTATAGTTAGGGCCTGTTTACATGGAGTGGGGGACCCCGGTCTAGTGGTGTTGGTTTCTTTTGTTTTCACGCTCTGGGGGACACAAAACAAAAGAATCTACCCCACTAAACCGGGGTCCCCCACTCCATGTAAACAGGAGTCTTCGTCTGTGTGACCGCAGTCCATGTTTTACATTCAAAAGATGCGAGAACTTCAAACAATAAATGTACTAGTCATGGAGGTATGTATAGTGCGCATTATTTTGGAAAAATTAACATAACGTCAAAACAGTGAATGTTGTAACGCAGATTTTTGACAGGTTCGTAGGATAAGTTTGTCTTGAAATTTTAAGATGTTGCAGTGAATCAATCTGAATGAAAGTTTCAGACCTTATTATATACATTATGAAGATTATGCGAAGAGATTTTAAAAAATTCGTTCGAGCAGTTTCAGAGATATACAAAAAAGCGCTAAACGTTCAAATTTTGAATGACGTTGCACTCATACAGCTGGTGAGAAAACGGGTTAGTTTTCAAGATCGCAAGAACGAAAATACACCAAAATTTCCTAGCAACAAAATATGATATTAAGCAGCATTCTGACGCTACTTAAGAATAATAGAAGTCATTTATAACGTATTTATTAAATAACCTATCACGGCTATTGAAAATTTATAGCGATCGGACAAGGAAAAAAACCACTTTAAAGGCGATTGAAAACATCGGTATGGCCTCTGAAAAAGTGTATCGAATCACCTTAAGTCTTTAAGTTTAACTAAGTTACTACCAGTATTAGAAATACAACAATAATAACAACAGCAATTGGCCATTTGAGATGAATTTTGGCCAGTTCTGCTAAACCTCGTCATAGGGACCAAGATCCGACGAAGGGCGACGGCAACGACAACATCAGAAAAGCAATAGGTTTCATAACCAAAACAACAGCCTTGCACGTGCAGCGCACTTTTTGTAGACTGTATTTCTTCGCCGTCACCGTCACTGCACAACTACGACGCAAATCGTTTTAAAGAGGACGTAAACAAGCGACGACAAAATTTCCTTTCTCTTTCTCTTTCCACTCCAGGAGAACTCGCCTACATTTTAAGTGACGTTTTCGCTGCCGTCACCGTCCTCGGATCTTGAGGTCCCCAACAGCCAATAAAAGGAGCGATAGTATCCCCAAGACTGTCTCAGAGTGAAGTTCGATACCCAGTCTAACTCCAGTCTCACACACCACTACAAAATGGTGCAGAGAGAAGCAACATACCGCTAGAGTATCCAACACTGGATCTCCATTTTCCACCGTCCTGTCGCACACAAATATTATTCTTGATTTGATATTATCCGCGCCTGAAAGCAACAAAAAGAGGAGTTTTATGATGTTCGGCAACTACAGAGAGTTTGACTATATCAACAAGGTCACCTGATTCTGGGCACAGTTCTTCAAACGTTGGATAGCATTATCCGAGGGAAAAACCACTGTCCGGTGAACAAGTGGTAGGGAAACCAGTTACGCTATCCAGCGGATAGTAGCTTGCCTAGCTGACAGGATAGTTACGCTTGGAGTACTTTCTTAGCGGCGGGAGCCCCGAAGCATTTTCGGCTAACAGCAATTCGACTTGCTCCCAATCTTTTCGCAGGTCCCAGGGCTCGAAAGGTCCAAGCCGGTAGTCCGGAACAAATAGACTTTCTGGCCCGGCAAGTTAAAGCATACTCGCCCAATAGGCAAGGGTCCAGGAAAGTCATCCTCTAACAAAATGATTAAATAAGACAAGCAAGAAGTGGCTCACGCAAACAAAACGTGAAAGCTGCTTGCTCAAAGGACAAGCTGCAATAGACCAGTTTCGAATTAAAAATTACCGCTGAATACAAACATTAACGACACATTCATACAGGGTTTGCCTCGATTTAAAGTGACATACTCAGAAATTCCGGCAAGTCAGTGTTTGAAATTTGAATATATACAATAGATAGAGCAACAAACAGGTCTTTTTCTCGTTGGAATTTGTGAATATATTTACTTCAGATGGAGGCTAAGCCTGTAAAAAATGTGTCTTCACTTCTTTAAATCAGCGGTCATAGCGAACTCGAAACTGGACTATTCAAGTTTTTTTCGAGTCCTGGGTCCGCCGTCAAATTAACTAAAGCACTCGCCCTCTAATCCCTCTAGCTACACAGGCTAGCGGATAGAGACTTATCAAGTGAATAGCGTTATTACCCACCTTTTGAACTACAGGGCCAGTACACTGTATAATAACTACAGTGGCCTTACTATCAGTCACTACGCTAATACGAAAACATTCTTTTGGCCAACGATCACCGTTTTAGTCGGTTTTATACCGGAGACAAACTATGCTTCTGAGACGAGTTAACTGTTTCAAACAAATATCCCGTCTCGTCTGTACCATTGATAGCTTGATAGCTTGAGGACAAGGTTACAGTCAACTCTCTCTAAGACGGACACCTTTGGGACCGGCACTAGCTGTCCGTCTTAGAGAGATGTCCGTCTTATAGAGAGTCAAATAGAGGGAGCAAAGAAAGGCAGGGACCAACTCTAGGTGTCCGTTTTACAGAGGTGTCCGTCTTATAAAGGTGTCCGTTAAGAGAGAGTCGACTATACTACGAAAAGCGCACGAATTTTCTAGTCACAAAAAAAAGATTAAAAGGTCTTTTTTATTGACCGTTCTCTAAGCACTCAAAGTCCGTCCGCAGCCGGCTAGCATTATGAGCCGCCAATAGTATCTCGCCCAGTTCCACTCTTTGTTTTCCACCCTTGCGTAGCTGGTCAAGCCATTGTGTGCTACTTCTTCTTTCGCAAAGGCGTAGCTGCCTTTACGCCATTAAGAACGGGCTTAACAAAAATTTGGGTTAAAATGAGCTCATGTAATCGCATGTGACCGCGAGTGATTATACCAAATGGCGAAGCTTCGCTCTATTACAGAAATCGCGCCGAAATTACCTTTTTTACGTGTGAACAAAAGCCCTATTCGGTATGGTTTTAGTGCCGGCGCAAGAGCTATCAGGTAGAGTGTGATCACTAAATCTACCACCTGAGACTAGCTACGCCCCTGTTTCGTCCCAGGTTCCCACCAATTTCACTTAGGACAGAGTGACGTCATGCCAGTAGATACTAATCATTAATACTAATCATTATTCAACATCTGTGGAGGTGAATTCCAAAAGCATCGGACCGACTTTAAAGGCCCAGAACTCACCACATGTTCATCTTCATATTTGTGATTATAATAGACCTTCTTAGCTTGTATGCTTTGTTTTCCCAATTCAGACCAAGTGATGTTCTCCAGGGAATTTGCCTTTTGTTTTTGCATAAATTATGCATACATATGCCGTGCATCAACGTGCACAGGACACACTTTTCAGAGAAACAGTTCTCTAGGGTCCCATCACGTGGTCTGAAAGGGAACAAAACTTACAAGTTAAAGAAGTCTATTGATATCCTTTCCAAGTTGACTATGTCCTTAAGACGTACCTTTAAAGCTACAGTTTTTGCTGCAGTATGTCAGTATCAACATTCCCTCGTCTTTGTAGTAAGTCATGGCTCTATTCTTGTAAAGACCCAACGCCGTGCTTACTTTTTGGTTTCTCCTGTTTCTCACTAAGCAGACACCGGCGCCGCCATCCTTGGTACAGTTGTTGCCATACTTTTTACTATTCAATCTAATCCACGACACAGAGAAATAAAGAAAAACTTGGGTGCAGTTGACTCTCCCTGAAAAAACAAATTAAACATTCAATCAAACATTTATTTCAGAATTACAGGCCACCTGAGATTTGTATAGGTAATAGCATCATTTGTAGTGATATTTGGCATAAATACAACGAGTGATATTTCAAAATTGTTATACGTAATTTCACGAGCCGTTAGGCGAGTGAAATTTGAGACAATTTTGAAATATCACGAGTGGTATCTATTGGTATTTATGCCAAATATCACCTACAAATCATGCTATTAATTGTTTATACTACTACCCGCAAGGTTTGTAATTTAAACTTGTAGGTACTTCAAATTAAGCTGAAATACCACTGCTCTAAGCCAATCAAATTGCAGAAATTTCTCATGTAGTAGTATAAGGAAATGTATCCTCTAAGGCTCTGTTCACACTTTACTGGATAGGAGTTTCGTGTCAGTATCAGGGGCGGATCTAGGATTTTTTTTAGGAGGGGGTGCACTCGTCCCTTGCTCTACTTCAACACCAATAAACCACATAGTTTTTTTGCAGAATACCAGTTGTATTAGAAAACCGCAGGTCATCTCAGGGAGGGGGGGGGTGCGCACCCCCTGCACCCTCCCCCTAGATCCGCCCCTGAGTATAGTGTGAACATCTATCGGACATGAGACACTCCGCAGCTCCGCTCTGTTACGAACTCGCGCCGAAATCACCTTTAAAACAGAAGCCCTATCCGCTACGGTTTTCGTGCCGGTACAAAACCTATTTGGTCTCGTGTGAGCATAGCCTAAAGTTAGTTTTACGTGCTAAGACTGGTCGTAAAAAAAGATATTGGTGAACACCAAACCGATGGTTGGTCCGATTGAAAAAAATCTGTTGTACAATGTGATTTCAAATTTTTAAGGCTACTGTATCGACCCGACAACTCTAACTACGTGAATTGACTGTTAAGTTGGGCCGACAGTTCATACAAACAAATCAAGCAAACGGAGCGCTTTTACAGTAGTAGCAAAGAAATAAGCCATCAGAATTTAAGATTAAATTTATGAACCAGTCAGAAGCAGGCAACGGACCAAACCGCTTACGAAAAAGTGACAGCAAACCTCTCTGGCTTGGGGCGGTTTGTGACGCTACTCCAAAGAACTGTTTCTATGTCATCCTATTCGCGTGAATATGAACGTATATCTTAAGAAAGACAAAGCAAAATCGCAAACAACGTCTCGTGCTAATGGGTAAAAACAACGCTCAGGACTAAAAGGACTAGTCCTTATATTGGAAGAGAAGAAGGTAAAAAGATTTTAGCTAAACAGAAGGGCCTTTATTTAAACTACTGGGCAACTGGAAAAATGCTATTTTTCGCCCTCCATGAATAACAGTTGCATCAACATCATCACCAATATTATCTCAAAGCAGAGCAACAAGCGATAGGTCCGATTAAACCTGTACAAATTGTGATCTGCTCATTCCATTAAACGGTTATGGAGAGCCTGATGTAGTGTAGCTATAACTATTTGGTTTGTTGACCAAGTCATATCATGTGAGCATTCAAATGAAACCGCTTCAGCAGTAGTTCTAACTTTTGAGTCTGTGGATGAAATCCTATGGTGTTACCATTCAAATGAAAACTCTTCAGCAGTACTTTCACGTAGTACTATTTATTTAGTACATAGTTCTAACTTATGAGTCTGTGGATGAAATCCTACGGTGTTACCATTCAAATGCAACCTCTTCAGCAGTACTTTCATATGATACTATTTATTCAGTATGTAATTGTAACTGTTGAGTCTGTGGTTGAAATCCTATGCTGTAACCATCCAAATGAAACCTGTTCAGCACTACTTTCACATGAGCAAGGGTGGCACAGTGGTGAGAACACTTGCCTCCCACCAATGTCGTCCGAGCTGTCCCGGGGTCGATCTCATATGTGGGTTGAGTTTGTTGTTGATTCTCTCCTTTTCTCCAAGAAGTCTTTCTCCGGGTACTCCTTTTTTCCCTCGACTCAATCTTAACCAACATTTCCAAATTGAACCATGTGGGTAGATGAAGAACCACTACTACACGGTATGTGGATGTGCTAACTCTAATTTCTTAATATTACCAGAAATACGTGAATCGCAGGACCTCGCGCAGCACTTAAGGATAGCAGCAAGAGGTAGAAAGAAACAAAGAAGGCAATAGGGTTAGGAACATTTATATTATGAAATGTACGATATGTAAAGAAACAAAGCAAAACTACAATAACACAAAAAAAGAGAGAAAAAGAAAAGTAAGTAATTGAACTCTGTACATCCTGGTCGCTGGGTTAATTCGTCACCACTACGCCACGTGGGAATGTACGACTAAATTGGAGACAAAAATTATTTGATTTAAAGTTTTTTTCCGTAGAAATTCCGCCAGCACGCGCCGTTTAAAGTTGATCGAGTCCTATTAAACACGAATTCAAAGATATCTTTCAGGAAATATCTTTAACGCTATGGTCAAAATCACTTTCATTTTCTCTTAATATTCATCGCTAAAAGCATTTATTGACTTCTGACATGGTCGCTAAAACAACCCGGCAATGTTAAGTAGCAGTCTTTTTTTTCTAACTGCTTTGTTGCTAGGCAATTTCATCTGCCAACCAAACCGATAAAAATATGACCAAAGCAAGATCACACTTCGCCTAGCAAGCCTTGTGGGATTCACATGCGAGGTCTCAAATTCGGTTGCCTGGAAACCCACAATGCACCTTGACGTCATGACGAGTCATGCTGATAACTAACGTACCACAATGTGATATTTAAAATCCCCAGAATGGCTCGGTGAAAGCCGGTTTAAGTCATAATATTCTCCCGTGCTATAGTCGTGGACTCTGCATTTATCAAGCTCTGCTTTCTGCTCATCACCACAGGCAGCTGACGTTAACCATCTAATACGGATGATGCAACTATCCTGGGACACAGACTCTAAAACTGGATGCCCCTGAAAGCGAGGAACATAGAAAGCAACGTCATTTTCAATGGGTTAAAAGGGCATTTCCGAGTTCCAAAAATTATCACTTTTAAAGCGAGGCGTTAAGAAAATTAGTTTCATTTGTATGAGAACAAAAAAATCATTTTTATATCAGTGGCTTTGCACCTAGGCTTGGGAAAAATGGCCTATTATGGCAGACAAAGATTGCAAAATTTTTTAGGACCCAGTCACACCGACTTCTGCTGAAATCGCGTTTCGCTTAGCCTGCGAAAACAGCCGTTTCTCCTCGTTCCTCGCCGCTGGGGACGTTTCGCGAGGAGAACGTTCGCGACTCAGCGACAGAAATTCCATACTGATGACGTAAATCAATGTTTACATAATAAATCCGGTAGTCATGGGGTTCCAAATGTAATTTTGTTCGATTTTACGTTTCTGCTGGTCGATTTTGGTAAAGTGTTGTGTTCATTTACGAACGAGCTCCAGCAAAACTCAAATGCTTCTTCTAGACAAGACTATATTCCACAAATATTGACTGTTTTGTTATAGTATTCATCGCGTTTAAATTTGACCTTTATAGCCTTCTGACTTTTGTCTATCATTCGTAAACAATAGCTAAAACAATGTAACTACTCCGTCGACCAATCAGCGCTCCTGACCGGATTCCGGACAGATTTTCCGTCATCAGTATGGAATTTCTGTTGCTGAGTCGCAGACGTTCCTCCTCTCGAAACGTCTCCGAGGAGCGAGGAGAAACGACTGTTTTCGCAAGCTACGTTTCGCTGTGGGGAGACAACTTGAAGAAGAAATTGCCACGGGAATATAACGGGAAATTTCGAGCAGGCAAGGAAGTTCCATGTTGAGCGTTGAAGTAACCAATCACGGTTCATATTAACCTTTCCTGTGCGCATTCAGACCACTGGAACGAGCTCCACCGAGCCACCGTTGGGTCTCTTTCAACTTCAAAGAAATGTTATTGTTTTTTATTACATGGCCAATGAACTCAGACCTCTTTGTGGTGAACGTGGTCTGTGATTGGCCAGTTAATGTTTAGGAGGGCCCAGCTGGGTTTGCTGCACTTTAAATACAAAGGTAAGGTTAATTTAAACTCACCAAAGAGCCGTAACTGCAGATAAACATGAAATGGACTTGCCATGGCGTCGAATCTTCGCCAATCTTGCAACGAGTTTTACCCTTATACACAAGTCGCACCTCTCCCTCGCTCACTACTTCTGGTGGGTCAGTTGCAGAGCCCAAGTCCTAAAAACAAAAACAAAAAACGATAAAAAGGATTTATCTCTCTGTCCCCAGTTCTTTAAAAGGTGGATATCGTTACGCTAATCTATTACTATTTCCTTAGCGTGAAGCATGCCTAGGAGTATTGCCACTCCCCCCTGGACTGGATGCTAGTCCATTGCAGGGTTACCCCCCAGCAGTATATCGCTGGTACCCATTTATACACCTGGGTGACGAGAGACAAAGTGGAGTAAAGTTCCTTGTGAATGTCTAAGAAAACGACGTGAGGAGCGAGGTTTCTTCCCTCCCCACAAATACGAGCTCCCCGAAAAACGCCTGCGTGGGAGGCTAGGTTTGAACCCTGAACCGCAGGATCCGGAGTTCGAGGTGTTAACCGCTCGGCCACACACGCCTCCACGAAGAGAAAAGAAAGAACGCTAAGAAATTTGTTCCGTTCGCGGTTGTCTATTCGCTAGTAGTGGCTATCAGAAGGCCCAGACGAGGATTTATGCTCTACTGTTGTTACTAACCCAAGTAGGGTCTCCAATACCACAAGCCCAGGCTCCTGCCTTACAGGACGTGCCGGGCATGGCCAACAGGGGACGACACAAATTCACATAAATAGTGTGCTGCGGATCCTTAACGCCTCCTTCTGTGGTCACCTGCACGAAAGAAAGTGAAGGAAAATGTTAATTTTTCAATAACTAAGAGATTTCTCTCGCGCGCTGATTGGTCGACAGCTATGGTTGGTAAGGTATGTAAGCATGAAACTAAGAGGGTTTATAAGAGAACAAAAAGCTCACTGAAGTAAAAAACTTCATAGGTCTCACCATGTGAGCATTATGACGTGCTGCAAAAATTCAAAAGCTTACTGAAGATGGAGTAAATTAAATAAGATAAGAATGTACTCAAATTTGATGAAAAAATAAACAACAACGGCTCAGCCACTTGTTTCCATTGTTTTTATGTCACTCGAATCGGTTTTCAAACGTTTTTTAAAACTACAACTAGACTACACCTTGAGGACTTTGAAATCCAGAAAATTAAAAGAAGTAAGAACAAATCGTCGCCGCCCGGTTAGCTCAATTGGATAAGCGCCCGTCTGCCGAGCGGGAGGCCGCTAATTCAAACTTTGGCCTGACCAACATTCAGGGTCTAGATAATTGAGAAGAAAGTGCTATCTTTGTAAAGGCATTTGCAAACGGTTAGACTTTCTAGTCTTCTCGAACAAGGATGATAAATCGTTGACCCCGTCTCACAACCTTTTCACGTATAATTTCTGGGGACGTCAAACATCCCACGTACTGTGCGTATCTCTCATTGGGGTAGGGACTGTTACGGCCCCGCATTAAGGCACTGCGCGCTGTTGGGTTGACCCTGTCAAGAATTGATGAAACTAGGTAAATAAGTCCATCGGAAGATGGAAAGTTTGTTATCAAAGTTACCGTCCTCTTACCAGCCAATTGGCATCAGATCGCATGAGTCTTCCAAGGCTGTACTTCACTGTTCTGCTACCATCTTTACTCTTCGTTATAGCTGCGCATTCATACTGAAATTGCGTATAAGAAAAATGAACGTACGAGATTCGTATATTTGAACGCGGAATGAAGATTCTTAAAAGGAAAAAAATACATATAAATATAAAAAACTAACGCTTGGACGGATTTCGAGCCCGTGACCATGCGATATAGGTGAAGGTTTCATAACATCTACTCAATTTGTTTATAAAACGGCGAGGATCTTACTTCTGTTAAAAAGACACATTAAAGGTGAATATATAAATGATTTAGATGGAGACACATCCCAGCCACTCAAGGATGAAATGAAACAACAAGATCGACCCGCGTGCAATGTTGCCTCAGGGATTCGACAGGGTTCATACAAAAATTGCAACCATTTTTCAAGGACTTTTCAAGGACCACCTACTAAGAATATAATTTCATACAAAAATGAACATTCCCAGTCTATTTTAGTAAGTCTTCAAGGCTTGAACTGTTTGCTTCACCAACTTCTCTTCATTTTTCAGTTCACTTGTCTTAAACTGATAGTTAATTATTGCATAAAACATAGATCACTTTATGTAAATAACCTTTAACCTTTAAGGGTTAAGGGCACGTTTACAAAATTAAAGCGATGAAAATATGGATAAATGCGAAAAATCATGAATAGAAGGAATAGCTGTTTTCAACAAATGGTCTCAATAAATACAGTAAGCTAATGTAAAGACCATTTGCTACTACCCGCTGATACTTTTAGAACCTCTTAACTAGACGTAAGGCCGACACCATGTACTTTAAAAGAGAAAAAGCCAGCCTTCTCTCCCCCCGCCCCCAATAAGAAATGTTTGGCTCTGTTCAAGCCACCTGTAGGGAACGAAAAACGTTCAAATTTTGGTTGGGGTGTGGGAGGGACCCAGATTGTTTTTTAATGCACTTTTCCATTATTATAAACATGTTATTATTTTCAATAAATGGAAGAGCAGGTCACTGATTTGGAAGAGGAGGTCATTATTACAAACAATAACCTACTGTTCCAGTTCAGTGTCCACAATAAAGACCTGCTGGTTCTAAAACAATGAAAAAGTACCTGGCCGGTGTGTAGAAAGTACACCCTCATTTGTCCCTACTCGATGCTACAATGTTGTCGCCGATTGTGCGTCGTACTAGGTGAGAATTTGGATAATAAAGCTCCTATTTAGTTCACCAACCTGTCTTTCGCAAACCAGTGGAGTGTGCCACACAATGTAATATGTACAATCATCCTCGGATATGAACACAGGTTGTCCGTTATCATCCCTGTTGCTATAACCTGAGCTGCACACAAAGGAGATGATGGTTTGTCGCTTCCTCTTTACGTGATGACAATCATCGCCGCCGCTTAAGTTTAAGAACAAAACGCCATCATCAAAATGAAGGCGTTTGTTGGACAAACCAGCACTGAACTGCTGTGTACCAACTTGGCAGACACCAGACTTTGACTTACAACCTGCAAAACAATTCAATCAACGTTGCCACTTAATACTGAGGGAACAGTTTTAGGGGCTAGGTCACCAGGACATTTCTATTTTAGGTCAATTCTGTGCTGAATTTATCAGTTAGTTCTTTTAGCCACATACAAAATGTTTGTGTAGAGCTAAAAAGATATCACAAATTTCATCAGGGAGCACCGGGCATGGCATTAAAAGTTGGCCGAACTTTTTCAAGTTTCAGTCCATGTCCATCCTTATCATCCAAGCATGCGCCTCAAAACGAAGCAAATGTGTGTCGACGACGACGACGACGACGATGAATGCAATCTCGAAAAAACCTCCCTTATTAATAACACAGGATACCCAATAATGTACATAACACCCAACACAAATTAGGGGTTGCGTTCGAGGTACGAGAACGCAATTAATAATAAATTGGAAAGAACTAATGAGCATCCGCTTAATCGTGAACCTGTCCCTTAAAATAACAAAACTGGACTAGTATTTTTAGAATTCAATTGACTCGAAGACAAATTTTAGGTTTTCAAAAGCCCCCTTTAAACCAAACATAAGAACGGTCACACAGTCCAGGATAGATTAGTTTCTTGTAACAGTCTTGACTCCATACCACGGATTAGAAAAGAGTGAACATTGCTAGCGGTAACTCTGTTCCAGACTATTTTGACATCAGCAAGAACAGTAATATTGAAAAAGTTTCCAACCCAGGGATAACATTGAACCGCAACATACATATGAACTGACCTCGCGAGTTAACAAGTGGACCGCAGACATTCACGTAGTAAGTGAGGTTCGTCTTCCCATCTCGCACAACATAGTCATTTCCTGTGTTCCTCAAAACCTTCAAATCAAACTCCACGTTTGTTTGAGGGTTAACTGCAGTACAGTCGTCGAAAACAGTATCTTCCTTAACATTGACTGGGCATGCTGCGCTGGTAACCCAAAGGAATTCATACAGACAAGTCTGATCGGATTTCCTCACAAACATTGGTCTGCCCTGCAAACAAGAAAGCTGCGTTAAATATTTGTTATTTTCACTTTGACGTGACAATAGAGCTGTGAATCATCGGGGAGGGGGGGGGTCACAAAAACGTTATATTATTAACAACCAAAGGGCTGCGGAAGAGTAAAGAGATTGGTTTATGTAGCTAGCATTTCGAGAAACCGTACCAGCTGCCCCCCCGCCTCGCAAGAAAGGATATTTCAATCACAAACATATCTGTACCCATTGCTTTATTTGACAGGTAAGGTAAAATATTTGCGTCCGATCTGTATGGGTTTTAAAACCGCTCGCCGATGAAAAAGCTCATAAAGAGCGGATGAAAATTTCCTCGAATAATAGCCGTTCATCGATTAATCGCCCCCATTTGACAGAAACCAAGATTTTATAGTGTATACCGTAAAATCCCACGTTAAAGCCCTGGGTTTATACAACTTCATAAAGGGTTTTGGGTGGGCTTGTAAACGGAGGGGGTATATCCGGATATCCGGGGGGGCATATAAGCGAAATAAAAAACATGATTCGGAACTACGAAGTAAAGCAAACATAGCATTACATTTAGAGTTACATTTGTAATACATTTATTGTAAGTCACAATAAACGGAGAACGCACTTATACGTTAGATGGGCTTCTAAACGGAGCGGCTTATATCCCAAATGATACTTTCGTTAGCAAATAGATGGGCTTATAGACAAGACAAGACAATGCTTTATTTGGAGTCTTGTACAGTCCTACGTACATCGCCTTTATCCAAATAATTTAAAATCATAACACAAATTGCGCACTAGTGGAACTATAATCAATGTTAACCTAAAGAACTAATGATCTTCTTTTCTCATAGCAGTCGAATATGTATTTTGCAATTAACTTTTGCACTGGTTTGTTCTTGCTCGGAGGGTTTATTGACAACAGAAAAACATCATCTGGTGCCATTCTGTTTACTGATATTCTGTATTCTTTGTTTAAGTATTCAAATAAAGTACTTCTTTTTTCTTGATACGCAGGGTACAGAGTTAAAAAGTGTATTTCATCTTCTACGTCTTTTTTGCAGATAGGACAGATCCTCTCTTCCGGTCCTCTTATATCCGGAGGGGCTAAAAACTGCGGGAGGGGGGGGGGCTTTAACGTAGGATTTTACGGTATGCGTTATTGGCCACGCGTGAGGTCAAGATGGCTGGATTCTACTGTAAACAGGTTTTTCCTCTCGTGTAAGGTGTTTCGCAAACCAGGGCGTTCTCCATTCTTGGTGTCACTTTCCAGGAAGATTGCCGATTTACTACACATCTACGCAAGAAGCTAATTAAAGCTAACAAATGTCTTTTTATACGGAGATCGTTAAGGAAGGAGGGTTATACTCAGACAGAATTAGACTAGCTGTTTCAAAGTCTAGTTATCCCTAATTTGATCTATGGTCTATCGGTCTACGCTGCTGTTAATGCAGAGCTTACGACTGTACAGTGTTTCCTGGGCCCAGTTGCAAAAAACACGCACTTAAGTGCTCACTTAACTAGGTCACTTACGAATCCGTTATGGGTACACTTACGGATGTTGCATGGTACACACTTAGCACTCTCACAAGTTTCTGTTTTACGTGATAACTTACGAGCGCAGTTAGGGCCTGTTTACATGGAGGTGGGGGACCCCAGGTAGGTGAAGTAACCCGTTTAGGTGGGTTTAAAAGTATAGCCTACTTTACATGCAATCTTACAACCCCGCTATCCCGGGGTGCACTTTCTCAAGATTATTGAATGGTCGCTAAGCACGTAAAAAAGAAATATGCTGGCAAACCACGTGTTTTGGCGATTAATGCTCTTCAACACTCACTTGCTGCAACCTTCAGTGCTGTTGCTTTCTATTGTTTCCTTTAATAATGATGCAAAACCACCGCCAAAGTGAATTTTTCGCGAATTTGATGTATCACGAATCCGACCCTGGCTACGCGGGTTACCCGACGTTGAACGTTTACATGGCAAAATTTGTCCCCGGCTGAGAGGGTTAGCCGGTCTGGCAGACCCCACCTATCATGTAAGCGTGATCCAATTAAAATGAGAGATCATATGGACAGGTCGGTTACCTCACCTACCTGGGGTCCCCCACCTCCATGTAAACAGGCCCTTAAGGGTGCACGTAACCTTGTCATGGTACTTTATCAATGACACACTCTATTTTTTTACTTTTTTGACCAAAGGTGAGTGTAAAGAGAGTGTCTAGAGGGAAAGGTAGTTTTTATATCAGCAGAGGAAAGTGTTTCACATAAAAAAATCTTTTTGAGGTTAACAAAGTGCATTACAACGGAAGTACATTACAACGGAGTTTACTGCATGTTCCGTGCAACTCGGTACAAAAAGAAATTATACAGCAGTGGAAGAAAAATTATTGGGCTTTGTTTTGGTATATAAATTAGCTTGTACCGAGTTGCACGGAAGCGACAGTTTTGTTAAATGTGTATCCCGTTTTTGTGTCAAAATTCGATTTTGTGAATCTAACATTCGACAACATTCGACTGTTGAGCGAAGAGCGTATTACAACGCTATCCAAAATGTTTTTGTTGTTTAGTTCAAGTTTCTTATCACGGATTCAATCAAAAAAAGTAGAGGGACAGACATTTTTGGGCTTTGTTTTGTTAATATGACTTAGCTAGTACTTTGTTGCTGGAAAAACTATATTTAGATGCTAAATCTCCGTGTGTGTGTGTTTACTCCGTTTATGGCAAAAAAATAAGCTTACGCTTGGTTCAAGTTAATCTCGTGTCACTCGGTACAAAAGGAAATTATAAAGAAGGTAAAGAAATATTCTTAGCGATTGTCTTGCTGTGTAAATTGTCTTGTGGCTAGTGGATCGAAAGCGGCCGGGTTTGCCGCAGTTTTCTAAAGTGCGTAGTTCGAAACGTGATATTGTCGATCGATGCAGATTTCATTGTTGTTGCACATTATTACAGCTTTGTATGTGAAAGAAATTTGAGTTTTATCCGAACTGTCGAATGAAAAAATGTGAGAGTGTTTTCATTAAACGCTTAGACTGTCTTGGAGCTACCGTTCGATAGGTCCAGCAACATTTTGATTTGCAAACAAAAATTCTGTTTACAGAATGTGTACAGCTGCTGTACATTTAGGCTTGAAGGATCGAAGTTTAGATTATTTTGCTCATAAACTTGGCTTGGGATTATCCACACAACGAGTTACTTGTTACTTTCTTCGTTAGGAACCGCACTTGCGGACATTGTTTCCCCCGTGTACAATTTTTTAGTACTAAATTTTTGTACACAGGGCTTTCTGTGGGTTGGGTTGCCTCTTTGCTTGAAAATTGCATCCTGGAGGGAGATGAACAGGGTAATTTTCCTGTGAATGCTTTTGTTTTTCTGTCCATCGTTTTTGGCTTAATTTTTCTGGAGCAAAGTTACGAGTGAACGATAGAGTTAACATGCTATTAAGTATTCAAAAGTTCTTTCCAAGAAAAAAAATAATTATCACAAATTAAACTTACAGGAGTTTATAGTTTGGAGTAAACTTTGAGTCTTAATGAAATTTTAGTTGGATCATGTTGACGAATGCAGTTGTGTAGGATATACAGTTTCAAATTTGGATCTTCTGACAGAATTATGAGAGAACACTCAAATACAGATCTCATTCAAACTTTATAGTTTCATTGTAATTATAGTTTGTTTCTATTCCTATAAACTTATCATCAGATCTACATTTTGCATGAATTTAATGTGATATATATTTGAAGGGGTTGTTGTTTCACAGTGAAGTAGTTTTCACTTTTTTTTATATGAAATTCAGTTTCTTCTTAGTTGTTGGCTAGGGCAGTGGTGAAGTATCTGAGATGTTAACATACTTTTATTATTGTTTATTTCTCTTCAGGAAAGATTGATTGATCCTGAATCAAACAAAATGCAGCCTCACAAACAAGATTTTTGATGTACAAATGTGTACTCTAAGAAAGCATAATTATGTCCCTGACAGTGTCAATAAAATTTATTAATGAAAACTGAGATATGGATTTTTACTCCTTTGTAGCACTTTTGACTACGCATCACTTTTCTAACCTATATACTGAAAAGATATAATCAGTATTTTTCCAACTAACATATTTGCAATCAAAGTTCTCTTCTTTTATGTATAGCATTCCCCCAATTTTAAAAATTTCATTATCTTTTTCAGATCAAGCACAGTAACCAGTAAAAGGAAAAAAGAAAAAAAAACCTGCTCGGTCATAGACGGCTTTAAAGTTTTGATATTAAAATTGCACCCGTTCACAATAAAAAGAGCATGAATGCAGACACTAAAGTTCATTTAGCTCATATTCAAGCTAGAAAGTCTTACTGGAGAGAATATAATTTTGCTTTATCTTTTCGGTAAAAAAAAATAAAATGACATCCAGGTATCTGAGCAATTTCAAAGGACCCATAGTGTCTTATTTCTCCGGTGCACTGAGCTGAGAACAAAGGCCGTTCTTTCTCGTGACTCGGCTTTTTTCAGAAATATTGTTGTCCGGCCAAAACGCGAGCATCACAGGGAACGAATCCCACAGGAATAGGTGAAAAAGGATAAAAAAAAGTCTAGGCTATTCTAAAAAAATCCGTATATTGCATTTGCAACCCATATTAAGCCGCAAATAATCTTCTATCCACTGGAATAAACAAACGATGGAGGTATTGCCGCCATTTTGAGTTTGGCAATGTCACGTGGTCGCGCGTCGACCAATCAGACGTTTTTCGCCGGTGAAACAACTGATAATGTTCTGCTCAAGCGCAATGTCGTCCAACCTTGCTTGGCTGCAAATAATATTCTGCCCATGCGTAAATGAAACCACGCTTTTCCCCTTCTTGCCATCGCTCTTGCGTGAAAATGGCAGATTGCTTCGCCAATAATCAAAAAACAAACTCAGTGATCGAATGATAAAACCACTACCAAATCACGATATTTTGCTCAACCTCGTACAATAAATGTTAATTATTCCTTACCTGTTTGATTCCACATTGCATATGTATTTGAGAAGAATATTTCTTTCCACTATGACCGCAGTCGTCTCCATCTTCATACTTCAAATAGATGTTGCTTCCTTCTTTCACTGGTCCACGTTTAATGCCTCCCAGGTTGTACGCTTTACCACTAAAAATTGAAAAAAGCCGTTAACAATCATTCAATAAAACAAATTATTGTTATAGCTGAGGGGCTAAAATAAGTCACCGTTTATTTCTCTTTGTATTTTGTATTTTGTTGTTGTTGTTGTTGTTTTTGTTTTATTTTTTTTTTCGTTGACCTCTGTTTACTCCTTAGCTACGAACTTTAAATGTTCAAAGGACAACAGGCAATGCTCGAAGGTGATTCTCGCGCAATAATGTCAATCTAGTCAATGAATACAAATCGAAGTCGATTTTTGAAGTTTGTTCAGTGTTTTTCAAGTTTACCCGAATGCTATCCGTTTTAAGCCTGTAAAATTCTATCCATGCATACCAGCCAGACTCTGCCGTCAATAAAAAATTACAACGAAATTGCACCCCTATTTCACGATACTCAAGTCTAGGTTCCTCGCAGAAATCGTCTTTTCAAGTGCTTCAAAACAGGCGGCAACACGTTACTAATTCAAACTTGCAACAAATGAGTTCTGCAAGTTCTACTGAGAAAATTGAATGGTTGCCTTTCATTAACACCAAAAATATTCCCTGGATCTGTTTCTTGACTTTTCAACGATCTGCCGTCGTTAATTTCTTCACTATTTCACGGGATGTTTATCATTTCACGACATCTGTAAACAAATGAGATGATTTTCCGGACCAAAATGTTCTTATCATCAATTTTACGACCCTATAAATGGCTTTCAGGAAATAAGATTCCCTGAATTAACCCTGACTTTGGGAAGAAATAAGCCTATCCCAAACTTTCTGTAAAACTGTTTTTCATAGACTCTTCTCCGACTATGGCAATCTCACATTGCTCTAAAAAAATGAAACAATGCACTTTATTGCACGAAAGTGCTAATTGGAGACACTATTTTACGTCTCTTAGTGGAGACGGGACCGCCATTTTACGTGGTCATCCGAGCCACGCGAAGGTCTGGCCGTGTGCAGGGCATTAAAGGTAATACCTTCATTTCTCGGTTATTTTAAGACCCTGAGTATTGGTCTGGCCCTGGGAATCGAACCCGCGACCTCAAAATCTGCCGTCAAGCGCTCTAGCGACTGAACTAATCCTGCCGCGGACAAGAAAACTCGCTATAAGCAACTTGTAAAGAAAGAATTTTATATACATACCCTTTAACCATACAAATGCCGGCTGTAGGAGGACAACGTACAGCCCCTCCATTTAACAACACTGTTCGACAAACATTAATAAAGTATGACGCGCCATCACAAGAAAAAGGGCTGGTACATTGTGCTTGCCAGTTGTTTGTACTCCTGGACAATAACGAGTAGTCATACTGACTATCATCAAGTTTGCCATTCAAAATCCGAATACTACACTGTACGCTAATCATAGGTCTGCAAGCATAAGGAGTTAGCCAGTGACACTCGTAGGTATCGTCTGACTTGCTCTCACACTTTGGGCGAGTTTCTCTTCCTTTTTTTTCTTGATCACATTCAAAGATGAAGTTGACAGATGGTCCGGGGGGTTTACCATACGTCATGTTTATCTGACCATTGAAGTACGTCAGGTGATTGCTCGAGCTGACGGAGGAAGGTTTGCCATCTGTGGATAATTTGTAAGAGAAAATGGTATATAATATTATTGAAGAAAGTAGAGAGCTCGGGATAACAATAAAGCCAAGGAAGGAGGAGATCAAAAAAAATACAAAGAAAGCAAGTTTATAGGTCAATTGACTGAAAATTATAGCCAGGACAAACAAACGGGCGTAAGGTTTTAGTAAGATTCAAAGTTTTTGCTACTTGATAAGAATTTAAGACCTATGTTCAAGTTTGGAACATTTTGCGTGCAACTAGGAAAAGAATCTTACTTTATTTTAGTTCTTCAGTGTCGTGTATACTGCTGGCAAACATGCCAAGTCTGAAAAAACTCTCAAAAGTACACCCTTTTCAGGGGAATTACCTAAAGTTGCTTTTTAAAGGGGCGATTCCTCCATTGCATGGCCAGATTTGCTATACTCAGGTATACAAAGACTACAACCTAATTCACTCACCTTTCATAATACAGGCACCGCTTCCTTTTTTACACTGATCTGGGTTGTTAACTAATCGGTTGCAGACATTAAGAATGATCCTCACGCCAGATACCCCGCTGACATTTACACTGTAATCTTTACTTGCATTGTACAGCCTGCTCAAGTCGAACATGTAGCCATACTGCTTGTCTTCCACCGTGCAGTTGTCCCCTTCCTCTAAGGTAAGTGCACAAGCACTGGGTGTTTGCCAAGTAAAAAGGTATTCACATTCCAAGGATTCAGCTACGAAAATGGGAGAGCCCTGCAATAACAAAAGCGATAACAACTGATAAGTATAGGTAATAGCATGATTTCTAGTGATATTTGGCATAAATACCACGAGTGACATTTCAAAGTTGTTACACGTAATTTCACGAGCCATTAGGCGAGTGAAATTTGAGACAATTTTGAAATATCACGAGAGGTATTTATGCCAAATATCACGTACAAATCATGCTATTATTTGTTCATACTACTACCCACAAAAGGTTTGTAATTTTCACATGTAGGTATTTCAAATTAAGCTGAAATACCACTGCTCTAAGCCAATCAAATTGCAGAAATTTGTTATGTAGTAGTATAAAAGATAAAACATGTTGATTTAGAAGCCAAAATATTTAGAATTCGCTTTAAGATGGATAAACTCTCTCCGTCGCAGAGGCTTCCACTGGGTATTTAAGCTTTGATACATTGTGCAAGCATAATTTTTGGCACAATTCGTGATGATGAGCATAATTTTCATCTATTTTCGAAAAAAGCATTGTTAGCATAATTTGCACTTGCTCTGCAGCACAAAAGTGTCATCATGAAACCAATTATTTCGGCAAGAGACTAAAGTTGCAGAAAAAGAAATCAATTTTATTGTTTTATCCTAACGATGTTTTGGACAAAAGGAAACTGAGATTCCCACAAGCAAGCAAGCATAAGACAACATTCTCTATTTAAGAGCCGCAGTTAGGACAGTTAGCCGTAGTTAGGACAAAAGACGAAATGCAAGGTCAGGGTTCTATCTAGGGTATTTGAGGGGTAGAGCTCCCCCCAACACACACACAATGCCCAAATTCCCCCAAAAAAGTATTCTCATCACAGTATATAAGTAACTATAGCAGAAAAATCATCCAGACGCGACGAGGTTGAGATTGCATCTCAGCGCATATTCATTTCAAAACATTTCCATGGGGGCATGCCCCCGCACCCCGCTAGGAAGCTAGGCTCACTAGTAGGAAAACACTTAGGAGTAAAAACTTCATTCTGGAACGAAACTCATTAAGGAATAAAAGTCATTCCGGTATCATATAAATAGCCCCTAAATTAATCTTACCGGTGTGTTTGAGCAAGAGAAAACAATTCTAATGCTCCTGTTATACCGATGATGGCATTCACTTCCCCCAGAATACAGCAACGTCAAGTCGCCGTTGTCCGTAATTTGGGGATCACTTTGAACGTATCCCAAATTGAAGCCTTTGCCCGATTGATGGTCTATCTGGCAAGCACCTATGGCGCCTCCGGGGCATTTGACAAGTTCGTTAGAGGCGTTTATGTTCACAGAACGGCAAACGTTGATAAAATAATGAAGATGTTTGTCTTCTGATCTGGAGTCAACGGCTTCCCAGTTACCTAGGAGAAGAAAAGTCAGTATTTCAAGTAGCCTGCGTTGCAGACGTAATTTAACATCGGTTAGTGACGTCTGCGAAACAGGGACAAGATCCTTGTTCTGGGCCCTCAAAGGACTCAAAGAATTACCGGAAGGGCGTTTCGAATTTCCTTTCATTCTGATTGGCAAATCAACAATGGCTTTTTTTGACAGACCAATCAAGGCGCGTACTCAAATCCTGGTACAAAGGTGGTGGCCCAGAACAAGGGATTTGACGCTGTTTCGCAGACGGACTTAGCCAGGGTTTAGTTTCGTCTGTAGCGCAGGCTTTGTTTTAATGTGTTCGATCAGTTTCTCTAGAAGCAAACACAAAATAGAGATTCCTTAAAAGATTCCAAAATGTTATACATTAGGAAAATGCCGACTGCATTATTAGACAGGCGGATCAAAGACCATACTAAAATTGTCTTAAAAATAAGATGAAAGGTTACGATAGCATTTCTATACAATCTGAATTAGAAATTTCACAAAAACCTAGGACATTGGAGCTCAGGTTTTTGGAAAGAGAGTAGCAAAACTTCAGGCTGATGTTTAGATTAAGTTGTGTTACTTAGGAAAACAACTTGGAGACACCGTTTATGGTTGAGTGTTCCTTTAGTGCTCTATCAAGTGACAGTTCATAATTCTAGTGTTGTTTTCTCAAGACTCTGAAAAAACTGACCCTTTAGTTTAAGAGGGTTTTTTAGGGCCGAATATTCAAACAAAGTAGGGTCGATGTGTAACAAACCTGGGCAAACAATTATTGTCAATTATTTTCCTATTATATTCGCTTAACATTTGTCACTTATGATTTTTTTCAGGCTAAAGGCATGAGGGGAAGAGGAGAAAAAATATTTGCCTGCTAGAAACAACCTACTCAGGAAGAAATCTAGTGGTCCATTGTGTCCTAAGCTATGGTCTAGGCAAAAGGAGGCTCTCATGTCCGATTAGATTCTAATAAATGAATAAAGATTACTTACTTTATTGATGCGTGGGTTTTCTGGAACCAAGAAATTTTCGGAGCCGCTTAGGTTGGCAGGCCATCGGATCTTCCGAGAATTTTCGGAATATCGGACGGTCTGTCCCTCGCAATTTCTTGATTCCAGACTTCGCACCAACTGCCTGCAAATTCAAAATCGCCGCCACAAGAAAACACAACCATGCATCGATAAAGTAAGAGATCCTTTTTGGTCTACGTCTGTCTCGGATGCTCTTTACAGTACTTTTCTTACCAGCAATAAGACCCAAGGGTGTCAGGTCATATGTTAAATTTCCCTTTCGTACAAAGCACTCCACGGCAGATGCAGGACAAACTAACGAGGTCTGAAAGTCAAAGAAGTACTTGTTTCCAAGCTGATTCGTGAACTGGGGCTCTCCAAGCGGCTTTTTATGGTTGCAGATGAATTTGATGTGTACCTCTCTCTGTTGTCCAGTAGCTTCAAAATTGTCCCCTTCTCTGAAAATAAATTTTTTCAAATTGATGCTGTCCACTGTCCATACAACATTGCGGAGCTACCACCAGCATCTATAACATTGTTACCCCCAACGATCTTAAGACCGACTTGACCAATGACAGAGCGGCGACATGGCGGGAAATTAAGCACTGAAAGTCGCGTTTAGTCCTTTCCGCGCGCTTTCCTGTTCCCACCTGACACTGCGCTGCCTCGACTGAATTGCTTATCAGGCTACGTCAGCAGGCCCGCTACGTTGTCTTCGTTTTCGCTTTTCTGTTACCAAAAGTACTGTCTCGAGGCTTTTTGGAACCAACAATCAAAAGCTTAGTGCTTTTTATGACACTGAGCAGTCAAGCATCGACCTCGTTTCAGTGTGTGTCTTGACTGGAGCGGCCTGGAAAGCAGGAAAGGTCTGTCGAGCCCTAGTAAAGCAACAGGTCTACCCACAACGTGTTCCCGGTGAACCTACTTAATTGTGGAACACATTTTACCGCCGCCATAAACACTACAACGTTTTAAAAAAAGATGTACTAATCGCCGACCGGTAGTTCGTCCGACGGAAAACGTACTGACCTTCTTACGAAGTTGAACTCGACTGGGTTAAGATCCTAACCATACCAGCGGTAAAGACCTGGGATGGTCTCTACCGCTTGGGTTCCAACATGTCGGAACAATATCGTAGACCGAGTACCGGCGACTATGTAGCTAGGGAGTCGGCGTAACATGAGAGGCTTATTTAGCTTGATCATTGGGTTAAGACTTCAAACAAGTGAATAACAAAAGCACCAAAACTTACTTATACACCAGTGTAACAATTTCACCCTTGTATTCCAGCCTTTTGTTAAACTTGCCCAAAACGATCTTGGTACCATTTTCATTCGTCAAACAAGCTCCTGTGCCCTTTCTCCCTTTGCAATCCGACACCGCACCGCAAATATTAAGCTCAAACTTCCCTCTTCCCTCGCCATCCGTTAACGATCCATTGTACACGCCTTTGTTTGGGTCCTTCATCAGTGGCCGCAGGTTAAAGGTTGTATCAGATTTAGGATCTTTCACGAAACAGAAATCACCGACAACGTTGACAATCTTGCACGCAGCTGCTGTTTGCCATTCAAATTTGTAAGTGCATCCATGATCCTCTTTTTCAATAAACTTAGGAGGCGAGGACTGCAGAGAGAACAGAAAAGTTTAGTTGAAATCAATGAGCAATTTCAACCATACAGACTTTTTTTCATCCATGCATTTATTACTGCAATAAAAGGAATTCGGACGAAAGTGTCTTTGTGATTTATTTGAATTTAAACATACAATGTTTTTGTTGTTGTTGTTTTCAGAAAAAGTTAGCTATATTCTAGACTTTTAATGTCCCATTTTCATTGGAAGGTTAATAATTCTACTTTTTTATTTATCAGTGTGTCACGGTAATATCGACTTTATCTAACCAAAACAAGTTAGTGGTGAAAAATTAGTGTCGATTCGACATAGGGATTGGGCCGGAAGGCTTCTACTAAAGGCAGTCTGTAAAATAGAGATCGAGAAATCGGGGAACAGTTTCCCGTTTTCAATTTTTAAAAATAGCTACTAACTCATCTGAAAACTGTATTGAAAAACCTTTAGCAAGAAAAGTCAATGCAATTAAAATCATAGCGTCAAATCATACTTTGCTTTTCACCCTAAATATGTTAACAATAATATTATAAATGAATGACTTGTTTATTGACTCTTTTTACAGCTTGGAGCTGAATTGCAGGTACGGGTCAGTTACCTAAACAACACATAATTAGGACACTAAACGGTAGCATATTTTACGGTTACTTAATTAGAAAAACGATCAGTATTAGAGTACAGTAAATTGAAGATGACTGAAGACGTTTATGAAATTTCTCCTCCTCACGTGCTACTCACGTGCTACTTTACTGAATGAAGTTTGATGCAAGTATGGTGGTGTAAATAATTTTTCTTCTTCTTTTTTTTTTTTTTTGGTAAAAGTATATTGTTCGATAATATTGTATTTTAATGTTGTACTGCAATTTAAAAAGTAAATAAATAAATACGCCACTTGCACATATCCCACAATGCACCTTATTTGCCCCCAAAATTATGCATGAGCACTGTTTTCAATTTCTCTTGGGACGGCTGTAATACCCAGGAGAAATGAAAAACAAAGGTTACGCAAAATTTGGTCGGGGGGGGGGAATAAGGTGCATTATCGGAGATGTGCAAGTGGCTTTTAAAGTAATTATACCTATTATTAGTTTTTATGGTTGCGCAAGACTGGGTCTGAGTTGTGTCGAATAGCACTGCGCAACCTCGTAACTTAAAGAAAAGCGACAGGGTCCCCAAAACAGTCCCATAATGCAATTCGTCCCAACAACGACCCAGTGTCACAAGCAACCTCGGTGTGGTGAATGTACAAGTTACTTCTTTAATTTCCAAAGTTTAAACATAGTTATTAGAGGAGACTGGTTATGAAAAGCGGCAAACATCAATGATAAGAACAACAGTGCTGCAGTTTATGTTGGAAGTACCGTGAAAGTGTACAATCCTTTGTTTTCTGTTGGCAAATTGTTACGGAATAAATTAATGCAACGTTTTTATTGGTCAATACAATCAAAATGATAGGAATTCTTTTGAACGTTGTGCACTTTCAGGTCCACAAAAACATATAACAAAGGAGTCTGACGGGTTTCATAACCATTGTACTCAATTAACTATGGTTTAAAGTAGCGTGAATTGATGATTTGTAAGGGCTGTGATATCACAAATGTCTAGTTTATTTTGTCAATACGTGTCCTGATGCGGTATGGAACTTATCGATGGAAAAGAAATTACTTGTAAACGACAAAATTACAGCTTCTTCTCCAACAAATGTGCCCCTTTAAGTGTTATATCAAACGCTAAATACAATGAAAGTGAACTTTGCAAAACTGTTAGGCTAACAAGTTTTCAAAACCCACAATTGCAATCCGTTTCAATCTTCTTCAACTTTATCCATCCGTGCCTTCTTTATCATTTACATTATTATTTATACCTTCTTTTACTGTTTTGCGCGGTTATTTTTCTGTTTCACTCAATTTTAGGCTGATTTAGCAACAGAACGGGAACGTCAGTTGACAACGGCGCGCGCAAATCAAACAACTGGCTTGACCAATGACAGAGCGGCAAATTGGGCACCGGAAGTCTGTTTAGTCCTTTCCGCGCGCTTTCCCGTCGTCAACTGACGTTCCCGTCCTCTTACCTAAATCAGCCTAATTTGGTGGCAGTTCCCACTACTTGAATTTTGATAAATTCCGTGACGCAGTTCCTTTAACTACACGCTTTCAATTAAAAAAACGATAGGAATTCACTTACTATTACTGCGCACACACTTCTTTGTATTTGAAAAGAGGATGATTAACAAAAAAGGTCGGCGTATTAAAATTTAACTGCAAAAAAATACTCACCGTTAAGCCTTCTCTGCAGATGAAAGTGATTTTGGACCGATAGAGCTTTCCAGTCTGCCCGCCACATTTATCACCATTGGTATATGTTATGGTAACGCGGCCTGTATTCTCCACACGGGGTGAGTCTGATACTGTTCCTGCATTGTGTGGAAATCAGTTCAAAAGGGTTAATGGACGGTTTCTTTAACTGTCACTTACATTTATGGAGGTACGTGTCCACGATTTTAACTTTAGAGTCCGTCAACGGAATCCTCTGGTGCGACCATCTACAGAAAGCTACTTAGCAGTACTTTCGTGTAATTAGTTGAGTGATTATGTGTTGAGAGCTGTTGAGAGTCTGTGATCGACTATAAAATTGACAGGAAAGGTGCTAGGCAGCAAATCCACATGGTACGGCAGCGGAAGCAGGGTTTGTTTTAAATTTTCTCCTTACAGTATGCATATGAGAATTAGTAAAAAGATCAGCAAAGGGAAAATGCTTCGATCTTTTATCAAATATAATTCTTTAACGAAATTTATGGAGACTAGTCTGGAGAATTTGTACATGTATGTGGCCGCAAGGCAAAAGTTGACCGCAAAAGCCTACTCAGTAAGCAAAGATTTACCAAGTTCCTTGATTGATATTAGAAACTTTAAGATCCAACGACGCGAACGGCAACGAGAAGGTCAAAAAAACAATTGGTTTAATAAGCAAAATAACAACTTCGCAAGTGCATCACGCTTTTTTGTACATTTCTTTCCTGTTTTTGCACGAGTACGATTGAAATGCCTAATTTTGCGTTTTATGGAGGACGTAAACAAGCAACGACGAAATTTTATTTCTCTTTCTGAGCTTGGCTATGGTCCTTTGAAATTTAGCTTCAGGAAGGTTCGCCTACAGTTGACAAAGTAAGTGGGTAGGAATAATCGCTATTAAGACGGTAGGAACACAAATTCACTTTTTAAGCGACGTTCTCGTTGCCGTCGAGTCGTTGGATCTCAAAGTCCCTGTCAATTACCTAAATTCACAAAGCTACCATCCTGCTTCACTAGGCAGACTGAAGCAGTACCACTGCATTTGGAAATGGTAGGAGAAAGATTCAACATGCGACAAACATTGATGTAAAACGTTCCACCATCCCCGTCAGCGTGCCAGTTATCTATTGTCTTAACCAAGCTTGTCAAGTCATATTGATCTGAACCGGATCTGGCAATACACTCTGCGATCTGCAAATCAAGAAATTAAATCCTATTACCATAACTGATCTATAAGCCCCCTGGGGGCAGTTATTAATTTCAAGTACGTTTGAAGGGGGCTTAATAAAGATGGGGGCTTACTTAATTTAGCGAAGATCATACCGTATTTACCCGAATAAGCACCGCGGTGCTTATTAAATTTTCCACTCCTCTAATGCGGCGCTTTTTCGAGGGTGACGCTCATTTGAGGAGAGGCGTTTATTTGAAAGTTGGACGCAACAAAGAATTGTAGTAACTACAGTATTACTATTTTCATTATTAAACTAACAGTAAAAGTCCTTTGATTTTGATTATACATGTATCAGGGCCGCGGCGCTTATTCGGGAGGGGCGCACAATAAATTTTGATGCGGCGCTTATTCTAAGGCAGCGCTAATTCGAGAGAATACGGCAAGTCTTTTCCTCAAGCACCTCTTCAGTAAATTTTACTCACTGACCTTGGTGAGGCAGGCGTACTTTGTGAACCACCTAAAGTTATAAACACAGTGATCCTCTTTCTCATATTCTGGAACTCCGACTCCATTGTCAACTGCCGACCTGTTACAGAGGAATGTAATGTGCGTGGTACGATTGACGCCATTGTGACAAGGCTCTCCATTTCTATAGGTTAGATTCAACATTCCATCATAGTAGAACAGTATGTCATTAGGTTTACCCAGGTTCTTGTGAAATGTGGGTTCTCCTCGTTTTATCTGACATGCCCCAATGTTGCCACCAGGACAAGAGGTCTGGTTACTTCCACCACAAATCTGGATAGTCAACAAAGAGTGGAGAAAATTAAAGGGGCTACACTAAAATCCCGCGTATAAGAACCTAGATTTTAAGAGCCTGTTAGGCTAAGATTGTCCATTTAGACCCATTTTACATAAGAACCTGCTTTAGCCTACAATTTTGAAACAGGTTCTTATTTTGAGAAATTCAGTCAAACACTGAATACACAAATTTAATAGAACAAGCTCTTCCAGTGAGTAAAATGAAGATAAGACACAGCACCATGTTGTTTAAATTGTTCTTTTTAACTTCCATAGCTTTGTATAAACTTCATAAATGGTTTTAACATGCTTAGATTAAAGGGTTATCAAATAACATAATTATTATGCATGCAATACCAAAAATAGGCCCAAAATAGGCCCCAAACACCTCATTTACTTTTAAAAATAAGAACCTCTTCAAGAACCTGAGCAGCCTAATTTTCCAGTTGGCGCCATTTTCATAAGGACCTTCTTATCCTAGCTTGGTAAAACATAGGTTCTTATATACGGGATTTACTGTATGTCACAAGGATATTGTTGTTTTAGGTCATTTCTGATGTAAAGTCATTACTTGGTGCCTTTGCCTGCGCCCAAATTGTTCCTGTAGAGTTTTGAATCTTGAAGATATCAAGCAAATTTCATTGGGAAGCACTAACCATAATAATTTTTTGATGATTTTAGCAGGCAAACAGGGAGCATTAAAACTTGAAAAAATTGGCCCAACGTTTTCAAGTTTAAAGGAGCTGTGTCACGAAATTCAGAAAAATTAGGAAAATACGAAATGACCGATAAATTAAGAGAAACATGAAAATAACCGCTGAAAACTTTAAAGGAAGGTTAAAATAACATAACAGAAACAACAGATGCCACGGATCGGCAAAACTGAAGAAGATTGAAACGGATTGAAATTAGGGCTTTTGAAAACTGTTCAGTCCAACAGTTTTTCAAAGTTGATTCCTACTGCTTGCAACTTCAAAAATAATGCTCAGGAGACCATTTGCTTGTCTCGGATCTCTAATTTTGTCATTTATCTGTAATTTCTTTGTTTACTTTAAGTTCCATAGCGACTGAGGGCGAGTAATTGGAAAAATTAAACAAAATGGACTGGACTGCCGTGACGCAGCCCCTTTAAATCCATGTCTATTCTTGCCATTTGAAGCAACAGACGACAGGAAACAATTTCAATGCAGAAATATAGTATTAAATAACAAAACTGGACCATTATTTTTGGAATTCATTTGATGCAATAGCCTCCCCGCAGACGTCCTTTGGGGTTCGTTCGTCACGAATGCGTGACAAACGAACCCCAAACTCGGGATGTCTGCGGGGAGGCTATTGATGCAAAGACACTTTCTAGCTATTTAAAAAGTCAAAGATAGCAAATAGCGTGACAAAGCCCCATTTTCAATTAAGCAGGTGAACACGGTACCTAGGAAGACCATGACAAAGTAAAAGACACTGGAAATGTAATCCCCGCCTACACATGGATTACTAAATTCCCATCATGTTCTGGTACCACTGATTAGCTATTGTTAGGACCTGTTAACGGCGCCTTCTAGATGTCAAGAATATCGGCAGTGAAGATATTAAGGCAGTTTAAGGTTGTTGGTGTTAAGCAGTGAAGAGTTATAAAGCGAAGAGGTCTAGAAGCTATCGTGTGTTATCAATTATAAGCTAACGTATCTGAGTTGAAATACCTGTAAGTAGTGAGCATATTGCTTCACAGGAATCTTTTTGTCTTTTTCCTGTGGCTTTCTATATTTTTTTGTTTGCCTTCGTCATTTAAATATTTTGTTTATGGTTCTCTCTTTTTCAGTCAAACCCGCGCACAAAATATTGTGGTAAACAAATTGAACCTTCCGAGGTACCCGATAAGTGAGTGAGTCGTAGCACATTCTTTTAAGAAATATATAGCAGCCGTTGAAGAGTTCGTCCTGTATTGTTGCGAGATCAGTTTACAGACCTGATAACTTAAAGGCCCATGTTCACCCTAGATGCATGGCGCGCCCTGTACTCAAGAAAAACAACATTTCGCGTAGTTGAAAATCGCTGCCTTCAGTTTGTAGAGTCAATCTTTGTTAATCTTCCCCAGTTCGCTAAATCTGGTTTAAAAGAAAGTCTAAACAGGTTTTTCTGGTATTTTTCTTTACATCTTTTTGGATATTTTGGTCTGGTATCGAGCCTTTTTTGTTTCTATGAGTGTTCGCTTCACTGCAGTACTTTCGATGGCGGCGCCATCGAAACCTCTAAAGAACAGCTGGACAAAATAATGATGTCCAAAAATTAGCTGCGCAAAAGGCGCCTGTATTCTTGTAAACGATTGAAAACGGCGAGTTCAAGAAATGGAACAGTGAAAGCCTCACCTTCAACTGATAGCTGTACACTGACTTATCAGCTTGTAGAAGGTAAGAATCATTCTTTCCCCACTTATGTTCAGCCAGAGGAGTTAGGTCAAAGGCATACCCAGCATCTTTATCTTGAACCTTGCAGTTTGTTCCTCGTTTTACACCCAAAGAACATGCTGCAGCTAAAAACCATTCGTTTAATCGTTAAATTTAACAAAAAATGGCCTCTCTAGACTGCACCATGAGATTCCAAGGTAAGGGTCTGTGGTAGAAACAGCTTTTTGATCTTTTTTTTTTTGAGGGGTGGAACGGTTCTAACTAACATTTATAGTATGTTAACACGTAACACATACAAAACAAGATACGTCAATAAAACAAAAACTAAAAATTCGAAAAAAATATGTTAACAAGAGAAAGTGAGTTACTCAGTTAGGTGTAGTGAGTAAAATAGTTTATATATCGCTTGATTTTAAAGAACAGTTGTGGAGAAGAAACTTGATCAGTAATTGGCTTTCCCTACTTACACCCCTGAACGAGACGATTTAAAAGTCCTCATTCCTTTTAAATGGGAGTGGCCCTCCCAGGGAAGAAAACTGTTGGCCGTTTGTCAGCCGATTGTTGGTCGTCTGTCGGCCAAATGTGGGTCGTCTGTTGGCTGATTGTCGACCGTCTGTCGGCCGGCTTTTGGTTGAAAGTCTGTCAACAGACGGCCGACAGACTTTCAGGGAAGCCGTTCTTCGATTTTTTTCCGCCTTTTCTTGACAATTGCAACTCTCATAAACTATGACACTTACAACTAACAAATCTTAAGAAATTTAATGTTTACCTGTTTCCCACATGAACTCATAATGACAGTTGTCGTCGGAATGACTGACAAGAACAGGAGCGCTTGCTAAATCTCCAGGTTGACAAATAAACGTTATCGTTGAATTTCTTAGAATGCTCTTCCCTAAATTGTCCTTCTTACATACACTGCCTTGTGTATAAACCAGCTTGATGGAGTTGTCCTGGTTCAAAGTTGGTGGGTCTGTGTATCTTCCCAGGCTTACCCATGTGCCCTTTTCAATCATACATACAGCAGCAGTTCTGTCGCACTGCCGTGTTTCATCTCTAACATTAAGACCACCACAGACATTCAGGAATATTTTCCTATCCGAGCTGCTAGTCTCACCATCCAGACCAACCCAATTTGACTGATTGTTCATGCGAACAAGTTCCGACAAATCAAAGCGCAAACCGTTTGGGCTCTCCACTCGGCATTGTGTTCCAGTCCGACGGCTTGGTGCACAAGCATATTTTGTCCTCCATTCAAAATAATAGAAGCAGTAGTGTTCGGTAGTAAAAACAGGCTGTCCTTTATCAACATGATAATCACATATAAACATAATGATGGTCGTTCTGTTAAGTTTATTACTGCACTGATCGCCATGTTCGTAAATTAAGGTTAAATGCCTATCAGCAAAGCGCAGTGTTTGCTTGAATATATCTCCCAGTGAATATCTTTTTGCTCCATCCAGCTTTTCCTGACAAACTGTTGAGTTCGTTCCTGCAGAATCATGCAAAAGAAGGGTTAGTACCGATGAGAAACCCGCCTGCCAAAGGCAAGAAAAATTAGGAAAACCATATCAAGAGGTAACCAAGGCAACCTGGCATCAGAAATAGTACGCAATCCCAAGTCACACTAAGGTGACTCAGTGGAAGAGCCACTTAGACTCATGCTCCAAGCATCAAAAACAGTTGGAGGTCACAGGCGGGAAAAAACACCGCAGGCAAAGACAGAAAAAAAAACATCAAAAAGAAGAGGCAAGCCAGCGAAAAAATACGTGACAGCACACACTTGGAATAGAAATTCAAGACTCACAGCCAATCGCCAACAACATCAGTTACTTTCCATACCGCAGTTCATTATTAAACTCTGAATTTGAAAATCAGTTTATTTAAAATACCATTACGAGTCAAACCCCTGATTTCCGTAATAAGTTAAAGAGATTTGCAATCAATATAGTCTAGGGGCAAAAAATGAGCGTGTTCAAATCAGAGGTGTTGCATAATTCGCGTCATACGGATAATCCGTCTAAATGTGAAAATGAAAATGGAACAGTTTTAATTTTGAACAAATAACCCATTTTATCCGTCTGTTTATCAGTCAAGTTTGATGTGTGAGAGTGAAAACAGCCAGTTACTTACTTGAAGCACAAAGAAGTCATACTTCAATATCACTGTTCCAGTGAAAAATTGAGTTTACTAATTCTTAAGGAAATAACAAAAATAGTTTCAAAACTTAAAATTTGTTTGATTTTAATCCACCTTATCCAACTAAATTGCACCATTCTTGGCAAAAGTACTAATTTTGACTAGTTAGCAAGGTTCAGTTATTTTAATCATAATCAGTGATGTTGATACGAATACTAATGGTGAGTTCTGCGCCTCATCCTGTGAAAAATTATGAGTCCCAGTCCGGAACCAATGAGTCCCAGTTTAAAAAAATGAGTCCAAAATTGAAAATGCTTGGATCTTTATGTCACCAGACAGTAAGTCTGAAGACAGACTCCAAAACTCTGTATTACAGTACACTGAATTTAAAATAATTATAGTCGTTCTATTTGAAAGCACAGCAAAGGCTAAAAGAAAAATGCATTTTTTAACAACAGCAATAACTGCCACAGAAATTACACGAATGGGATATTTCTACAAATACACATGTTCATATCAACTGATCGATCTTTGCATCCTACGGGACGCATGCCATGAATTATTTTGAGTATTGGGGATTTTTATGCATCAGAGACACAGGACGCAGAGGTAACAAAATCACTGCATAATTATTTTAAATTTAACTTCCCCCCAATCCCCTACTCTGCTTTGAAGATGAGGTTAATACTTGACAAACTTTTTCAACAAGGGAAAGAAAACAAACCTCTGCCTCCACAAGGAAATCCAAGAGGTTTACAAACATTCATGTAAATAATGTAATGAGTCTTTTTTCCTTTCTCCGTAACATCGTAGCCAAGCTTGTAGTTTTCAAGGCTGTCAGCTGAAAGTTTTGTCAAGTCAAAGTTGACAAACTTATTGACCAACGTACAATTATTTGTAGACATAATCTTGGCCTCAGGGCAGGCAAATTCAGTTTCCCAGAACACCTCAAACCTGCAGTCACGTGCTGCAGTTAAAACTGGACCTTTATCAGGCTGAAAGCAAGTTCAACTTGTTAGCAAAAGGATCACATTGGACACACCTACACAAATTCAATGCAAATTAAGGATGAGTTCCTTTCGGCAAATCCGAAAACAGATTTTTGATCCTAGATTTGCCAGATTTCACGTTCGTTTGAAAGAAATGCAAAAATCAAAATAGGATCAATAACCTTGGAAACTGTTTTGCAAATGCATCCAATGTGATGACCTCTTACGAAAATTAACAATGGGTTTTCTATTATTTGACAATGGAGTCCTACCACTAGTGGAACAATATAAACAGAGAAAGAAGTGTACAAAAGATGAAAATTACGTAGCGGGTGGTTTTCCGCAATACATACATAGGCACATTTCAAAGCCACTTTCATACATCAAGACAAGCAATTGAGTGAAATGTACATGTAATTATATTGAGGAATACACAAGCCTTAAGCCCTCTAAGCCAAAGCTCAAATCAGCTTCTGTAGCATGAAGCACTTTAGAGTATTGTTACAGAAAATAATGTCCCCTCCCCTCTGGATGGGATGAGGGATGCTAGGCAGGGTCACACCAAGTAGGATCTGGATGTCGTCAGCAACATTAATACAGCTGGTTGAAAACAGATATAATGGGGCAAAGTTTCTCACAGTGTATCTAAGAAAGGGGCGCAATGGCAAGGCTTGATTTTGGACCCACAGATCTAAAGTTCTTAAGTGATAATCACTAGAACACCTCACTTCCACAGTAGAATATGGAAATGACATCAAAATGTTCAAAACTCAAGTGGAACTACTGTATGAGGCAATGGAGTTTCATTGAAACTCATCCACAAGAGATAGTGAAAAACAAAATGAGCAATTGTCCGGGGGGGGGGGTGGCATTTTTCCAAGGTGCTTGAACACTGGATTTAACTTCACTGTGTATGTTACAGGTCAAAATTAAATTCAGGTTAACATTTTTTAACCTAGGTTGATTCTCAATTTCCTTTGTCCCCTAGCCCTAATAATTCATTGAATTAGAGCTAGGAGACAAAGGAAATTGAGAAAAATTTAACCTGATTACAGGGTTCATACATAAAAACTTGCAACCATTTTTAAGGACTTTTCAAGGACCACCTACCGGGAATGTAATTTCAGGGGCACCCAACGACGATATAGTTCAAAACCACTTAACATGGCATTGTCAAAAATAAAAACTTTTCATCTGTTCAACCGTTTTTTATAGGACTTTTTTTCAAAATTTAAGCCAGGAAAAGGACCTCCTACCTTTTTTTTAGGGTAAAAATGTAAAAATTTCAATTAAACCATTTTTTAGATTTCGAACAAAAAGAAATTTTACAACAAATTTCCAAAATTCTAGATCTCAAATCGTCTTCCGAACAGATATTTTCAATTTTCTCCATTCTAATAGGACTTGTTTGCTCAACAACTTCTCTACATTTTTCAGTTCACTTTTCTTAAATTGATAGTTCATTCTTGCATAAAACAAAAAATGCCTTATGTAAATCACCATTAACTTCTCTGAGCTATGATTTATGTTCTGTTTAGTTTTGGACAACCAAAAAGCATTAAAAACACTTTCTAGGCCACTACATTCAAAGTTGAAGAAAATTCAAGGACTTTTCAAGGACTACACCCAAAAATTCAAGAACTTTTCAAGGAGTACACCCAAAAATTCAAGGACTTTTCAAGGAGTACACCCAAAAATTCAAGGACTTTTCAAGGAGTACGCCCAAAAATTCAAGGACTTTTCAAGGACTACACCCAAAAATTCAAGGACTTTTCAAGGACTACACCCAAAAATTCAAGGACTTTTCAAGGAGTACGCCCAAAAATTCAAGGACTTTTCAAGGAGTACGCCCAAAAATTCAAGGACTTTTCAAGGACTACACCAAGGACTTTTCAAGGAGTTTTCAAGGACTTTTCAAGGACTAAAAAATTCAAGGACCTTTCAAAATTCAAGACTTTTCCCCAAAAATTCAAGGACTTTTCAAGGAGTACGCCCAAAAATTCAAGGACTTTTCAAGGAGTACACCCAAAAATTCAAGGACTTTTCAAGGACTACACCCAAAAATTCAAGGACTTTTCAAGGACTACACCCAAAAATTCAAGGACTTTTCAAGGAGTACACCCAAAAATTCAAGGACTTTTCAAGACCCAAAAATTCAAGGCCTTTTCAAGACTGTGTAAGCCCTATTGAATTTAATTTTGACCTGTAACATGTACTGTATACTATAGGCCTCTACGCACCTTTAACTTTTCTTCAATGATCTGTAAGTATGTACACAAAAAACCCTACGTAGACCTTATTATTGTAAGCTTACCATTTCTCTGGGACACCTGAAAGTTATTGTCGTCACTGGATTGCCAATACACCCACTAACTTTCTGGGTTGTGTTATAAACAAGAATAATGTCATTGTTTGGAAGGAAAGAAAGTTTGCTAGCAAAGCTTATGCTTCCAATATCTTCTTGTTTGGAAAGCTTTTTGTCAACTCTACACATTGAACTGTTTGGCGGGCAGCCTTGTGTTTTGTCAATAGCAGTTATCCCTCTACAAACGTTGATGAAAAAGTCAAAGCCTGTAATTGAAGAAGCAACCTCATAACCACCTGTAAAATACATGCAGCAAACACATGTTAGAACAAAATGCCAAAAAAATTGAGCTACATGTACATGTAGTACAGTTCTAACTGAAAATTAATTATTTCCAAAAATATTATAATAGAGTGAAAATGGTTGTAAATCTTGCCACTCCACAGTACACTGTTCAAGATCTGACTTACAGAAACAAGCGGGGCCGAACAGCCCCCACTTCATTTTTAGACCAAACTGAGCTCGAGCTAAGCCCAAAGGGCCAAAAAAAATTTTTTGGAGACCACCCCCCCCATCTTCTAACTTATTGTATGGTTAGGAAGTTTTCTTGTTTGTAATTTTAGGTATTTGGAAATACAGTTGATATACTATTTATTGTGTAAGACTCCAAATAAAAAACATGTATGTATGTACATGTATATATGACCAAACCCCAACCCCTCCCCCATCTCTAAAGGTTTGGATCTACCACTGCAGTACCTTTTAGCTTTATCAAAGGTGTAAGATCCCTCCGTTTGTTGTCAAAATCACTGTATAAAGAACAAGGCATCTCTGGTGCTGTAGGAGGTAGTTTGCAAGCTTCATTTGTTACAAATTCAAACACTGCAACACATTCTTCATCACCAACTGAAATATCCACAAACTGAGGTGATCCCTAAATTACAAATATGAGAATAAGTTTTATGTATTATGAAGGAAACAGTAACTGCCCAAAAGCCTTTCATGATTTCCACACTCCTTGGTTAACCCTTTAAGTGCCAATAGTGACCAAGATCAATTTTTTCCTAACAATATCCATACACTGTCAAGAGATAAATTATGAGAATTAATGAAGTGATCACCCAAGAAAAAATGTTTTGATCTTTTATCAAATTCTCTCAACTCATTCTGTAAGGAAATGTATGGAGATCAGTTTGGAGAAGTTGTATGTGGATACTGGGGCTTAAAGGGTTAACAAAGTTCACTAAAACTACAGTCAAGCCTCCACTAACAGTCAGCTCTTAACAATGGGCCACTTTATTTCGTACCGGAGGACAAAAAATCAATACATTGGGGCCATTTATACAAGGAAAAATAAGACATGTCTTCCATAAGATGCATCTTGAATAAGACGCAAACTTTCCGTATAAACAGCACATTTCATCTAAAATAAGATGCGACTTAGATAAGACGCGTCTTAGTTAAGACGAGAAAAACTTCGTATAAATGACCTTCGCGTCTTACATAATTTGTTATGTTAATTTATGGTGCGCCATGTTGGATTGCCATAGCGATGGGCAACATTTACATGAAAACGAGTCAAGAACAGAAATAAGACGCGAACCATTTATACGCACTGTTCTCATCTTTAGATAAGACATGCTCATATAAATGGTACAGTTCGCGTCTTATTTAAGATGAGCCTTGTGTACGACGCGTCTTATTTTTCCTCGTATAAATGGCCCTAATGACTCTTGTTTCAACCTCTCTACAATCGCCACCTCTTTATAACGCCACTTTCTTCTGTCCCCAAGGTGACCATTTTGGAGGGGTTCAACTGTAGCAGTAATCACCCAAGAAAAGTGTTTTGCATAAGTAGCAAGTGTCAGTAGAAAATACATGTACATATCATCACACTCTATAGTCTCTTAAGCAGCGGGACTCATAATCTGCGAGCCATTTCATTTTCTTTGTATTTAGTACACAAAACGACAGCAGGGTGTCCAGCGGCATGGTTGCTCAAAAAGATAGGAAAGAAGGAAACTCAGGATTGAGAAAATAGGAAAAATAGGAAAATTTGTATTAAAAAATAGGAGAAAAATAGGAAAATCAATAGTACTTTTGTCGACAAAGATAGCCTCCCTGCACCTAATCAGGGTTACAATATACAACTATCCCCTGAAGGTGAGTCACGAAACGAGGAGACATTTTGAATCACGTCCCAAAACAGTGAATACTGGTGAATACTAATATAAAGTTATGAGTCCTCAGATTCTATGTTTGCAGGATTTAGATCAACTTTCGTGGCTAAGAAGGAGTGAAAATGATCAGTAACGTTTAGTTTATTTGCTCAGTTACGCTGTAATCAGAATGATATGCTTGACTACAGGTTGAGCGTGGTTCTATAATCAAAGGTGATCGTATACAAATTGCCTTGCAAGTTGCTGGCAAATCTTTCAAAAGCTTTGAAGAGTGAAATTTCTTAGGATAGAAATTTCTTACGATTGCGTTGTCATTGAAGGATATCAAACTAGGGCTTAAAAGTCCTATGGAAAGCTTTCCTTCCATTAATCTGCAATCGGTAGCTGGTTACGAATACTATACCTGCCAACTCTCACGCCTGCGGGCTGAAAACTTCGATCTCACGCCCGCTCACGCCTGCGGACCAATTTCTCACGCCTGATTGAAAAATGTGAGTTGTTGCCGTCTTGCTTGACACAGTTTCCAAAAATATGTTAACTCGGACCCATGTAAGGAACGAAAACCACGTGGAAAATGAATAAATGACAATACCTTCCTCGCGATCTCTGATTTTGTGGATAAGCGTTTTCTCGATAACTTCGCCTTCGGCAGACTTCAGACGTCTTCGGAAGACTTCGGACTTCTTCGGGAATCTTCGGAAATGATCGTGTCGTTTTCAAAAATCCCAGCACTCCCAGGATAAAAATCTCACGCCTACATCTCAGAAAAAGTTGGCAGGTATAGAATACACTTGTTTGAGTCAAATGACCGCATAATTTTAAGTACGGAACCTGGCTTTCTGCTGTGTATGCAAAATGACACTGATCCATTTGGTATCAGATTGTAAGTGTGTCATGGTTAAGTTCTAAGAAGAACATAACACTCTACTTAGCTATGACTGCAAGACCAATTTTGCAACCAAAATATTGGATCCTTCATCAGGTGCTTAGGTATAGCTGTTAACAAGGGCTCACCACGAGAGTTAGTGCCGTAAACTAAACTTTAGTCTGTTCTTTTCATATAGCATCCAGAATCAGCTACTGATTGGCTTTTAAACAAGAAGCAGATAGAATGATTTATCTGGCCTGTGTTGTGAGAGGACAACTTGATCCTGTTTTCAATGTCAAAGATGAACATAAAAGCGAGCAACACCTCGAAATAAAATATAACATGTACAGATACTGAAATGCAGTTTCAGTGGGCTATGCACAATATTATTCAATAGTCATGAGGACTATAACACTTCATACAATTAATGTAGGTGTACTAGAAAATTATACAAAAAGTAACAATATAACAAAAATGTCAAATGAACTCTTACAGGAAATAGCGGTAATAGAAAGAACAAACGTAACTGTCATATTTACTAATATTAGAACATCAAAGTCAACATACTACTTGCTTTATGATAAATTTCACTCAAAAACACAAACACCTATAATTCCATATTCAATTTTGTTGCAAATTTTGGTTTCAACAGCTAAAAAATAGGAAAAATAGGAGGTTTTAGTTTTAAAATAGGAGAAAATAAAAATAGGCTCAAAAAATAGGAAAAAATAGGAACTGGACACCCTGCAATGGATGTGGTCCCAGGCACTTCAAGCAGTGACCATGGAAACTTGGAATAAGAATCATATTTGCATGACCAAAGCCACACATGTTTTGTGAAGAAAGCTTAGAAAAGATTAAATTTAGAGCTTTTCTGGAACAGGTTAGTCCATGAATTTTATCGCTTGAAAGAGTTGATTACTTTGGAACAAGTAAACACTTCAGTGGTTGAAAAAAAACTAACTCAATTAGCAAAACTTCGATCATGAGTGTTGTAAACTTTCATTGTATGCAAATGAGTCTTGTGATGAGCATGCAGTTTATTTTCAGCGATGATTGAAATGACACGCCATGTTCTCATCACGTTTTTTTACCTCTGGCAATGATGTCATATTTCTCTCGAATCGAGGCCCTTGAATTTTTGTGTAATTCTGCATGCGTACAGCCTGTGACTGCAGATGTATTTCCAGCCATCACTGACACGCGTACTAAATCAGTCCAGAAACAAATCGTTGAATACGATATAAAAAGCACTGTCGATAAATTAACGTAGGGAGTGAAAAACCTTTAGCGAGTAAATCCTGATTCTTGTAGAATCAATCACCTCATTTCTTATCTAGTCTCCAAAAGCAAGCAAGACCAAAAGCCGATTTTAAGAGCGTTCCTGTTCTACAATTTCTAGAATTTTCTTGGTGGCCTGGCCTTAATTCACACATGATGAGAGATAGGAGACAAAGGAAATCGGTACGTATCTACACTATCTGCAATTGACAATCAATGGTGTAATTGACCAAGGAAAATTTTTTGTTGTACATGTACTATTTGCCTTTTGTACCATGCCATGCAGTAGAATGTATGCAAGACACATTGTCCCTAGACTTCACACTTCAATCTGCAATCTCAAATCTGCATTTTGTGATGACCAAAATTTGTAATTAAATGTTGGTTCCTAGAGGAGGGACTGACTCTGTTTCTGGAGGGAGGGAAAACAAATGGACAGACCAGTCACCCTACAGCTGTACATGTAATAAGCGATTATTTCTGCGAACCCTTCAAGCCCTAAGAGTGATCAATATTTAATATCTCCCAACAGTATAATAATGATGATGATGAAATGCTGTGTCTTTTGAATGTCAATTGACAGCTCGATCACTAATCAATAATGTGACTGTAATAACTGGAGAATGCAAATTGTATATACATTTTTAAAAGCTCGATATTTAAAAAACCAAAGTGTTTAACCTATTTACCAATCAAGCAACTGGCTTCTTTGCATCTATAGTGAATATATACAGTGTATGTAGCTAACTATAAGTTAACAGCATTAGCAAACTCAATCAGAAAGATTACAATTCCTAGAGTTTCTTGATGACAAGATGTCCCTTTGAGCCCATTCTCATTCAGTGGAAAAAAGAGATTTTCAGACGCCAGAGCTCAGCAGACAGGGAGCGACAGGGGGCACTAGAGGCAGGTTTCAAATTCTGCCCAAAGAACCCCCAAGAGAGCGCACTTGCTACCTGGGCCATTGACTTGATAATGTTCTGAGATTTTCTACTGGAATGAACAGCAACTGGGATGAACTCAAACCAGAATGACATTTTCTAGAACTCAAGCAAACACAAAAGACAGGAAAGGTTCATCACATGAACAGGCTTTACTGCAGAATAACCTGCCACTTTGGAATTTGTAGTTTAAAATGCACATTTTTGAAACGGTTTTCATTTCCTGCAATTTTCAGCAGGTTATCAAACACAGCCAAAGCTTCTGTGGATATGCAAAATGCAAGGTTATGCCATCACTATACATGTATATCTGCCTGTCTACATTTATTTCATAAATAACCTTTAAATTGATAAATGTCACTGTGTATCTGCATATCTGTGTATCCCGGCTTCAACACATGACATGTCAATTTTCATTCTTAAAGCCACTGAAGACAGATGATAACTAGTATATATGTTGTGGTTCAGTTTTATTGAAAATGAGTTTGAAACAAAGGACCATAAAATTTCAACCAAGGATAAAACTGAGCCATAACATTGTATACACCAAACAAAAATTAATCTTTATCTTGAGGAGGGAAACGTCGGGGTTTACAGTATTGAGCTTTTTTCAAGCAGTACTTCGGTAATTTTAATTTTAATGTGCAATATTGTGGTATCATCTA